AGCACCTGCCTAGAATCCCCCAGTGAGGGGCTGGGGTGTGGCTCAGTGGTAGAGCACCTGCCTAGAATCTCCTAGTGAGGAGCTGGGGTGTGGTTCAGTGGGAGAGCACCTGCCTAGAAGCCCCCAGTGAGGACTGAGGGCATAAGCCACTCATAGCCCAACAAAAGTCATGTGGTTGGAACAAAGACTCAGGAAGTTCCAAGGAATCTAGGAGCTCTGTGTAAAAGGCTCTTTACCTCCATCTTTTAGGAAGTTCTCAAAGTTCTGTGTCAGAAATGGGTCGGAGACTATATACAGATATACATACAAACACACTTACATACTTATATACATACACAAATCTTCTTATAGTCTACCTTTTTCCCCCTATTCCTCCCAGGTCCACCTCCCACCCTTGTGCCCTCCCCCCACAGTCCATCTTTAATATGACACATTATTTCTCTTTTTCAAACCCGGTCATTGTGCCTAGGGCCTTGTGTATACACACATTCTCTACCACTGAACTACACCCCAAGCCCCTTCTTATTGTGTCTTTGCAAAATTTGTGATAGGATCTCACTATTTCCCACAGTGACTTTGAACTTGGGGTTCTCCTGCTTCCATATCCCCAGGGAAAGTTTGTGCTCCTAAGGCTTTCAAACAGCCAACCGTAATCTATCCAGTAACCTTACAGAAACTACCCAGTGATAGATATCCTCAAGGCTGTGTAAGAGCTGAATGGACTCCTGTGCAAATGTTAGATTTGAGGAGATTCAAAGAAGCAATAGTCTCATTTGGCATCCACTCATCTTTTGTGAAGTAGATGTTAAACTTGTGGTCAACTTGTAATAATTATCCCTTAAGACTGGAGGGATTTGGTTACAGATGTCTTAGAGGTTGGCCCCCAATTACAATGGAGGACCTGGTGGAAAGATGAGGCTAAGACCATTGAACAATAGAGTAGGGCTAGAGGTCTTGAAATTTGCCAAGATCAACTTCCTGTAGAAGGTGATTATGCTGATATACAAAGACAATCTTTATATGATGACCACACTCTGCCCTCATGTTGAATGGTAGCCTTGAATGCTTGGGACAGAATTGAAGAAGTAGGAAAGAAAATTGAGTCATTTACAAAAGTTATATAGGGCCCAAAAGAAACCTTCACTGATTTCTTACAAAAATTGACTTCAGTACTAAATAGAATGATACCAAATTCAGAAGCTAGACAATTAATAATTGAATCTCTGGCTTTTGAAAATGCTAATGCACAATGCAAATGGGTAATTAGGCCATTAAAGGCAAGATCAGCATCCTTGGAGGAATAGATCCAAGATACAATAAATATTGAATCTCATGATCATGATGATGCTTGGATAGGAGAGGTGATTTCCAGAGGTTTGAAGAAAAATAGTAATGCCAAATGTTTCAATTGTGGTAAAAAAGGTCACCTAAGAAGGGACTGTAAATGGGGCATTCCTAGAAACAATGTTTTTCCAAGGAATAATCCCAACAGCATGCCCCTCCTTTCTAGATTATGCAGAAGGTGTGGCAAAGGCAGACACTGGACTAATGAATGTAGATCAACAAGAGATAGACAAGCTAATCCCTTGCCTTTGCCATTGGGAAACTCCCTTAGGGGCCTCTCACAGGCCCCTATGTCAATTTGGTTCAGTCCTTTCCTCTCATCATGGAGGAAACACCTTCTTAGAGCAATTAAAGAACCTAATGCCTATTGTAAAAAAAACCATACTGCTCAAAGTGATAGAACAGCTATAGAAGAGAGAACAAAAAATTTGAGAGATACCATAAAGTAAAATTTTTTTGGCAGACTTCTATAAATAACAAAGACCAAAATTAAAAATACAAATATATGACATTCTCATTAAAGTGTTGTAGACACAGGTGTAGATGTAACAATAGCACCAGAATCTTGGCATCCAATTTAGCCTCTTCAGGAGATAATGTTCAGCTTTTAGGGATTGGAATATTACTTCAAGTGAAACAGAGCATAAGATGAGTTGAATGTATAGAGCCAGAAGGACAGAGAGGGAAATTAAAGGTCTATGTGGCTAATATACCTATGAATTTATGGGATGTGATTTATTACAACAATGGAATACTCAGATTAACATTCCTCCAATCTCAGAAGCAAACCATAAACTAATATATGTTTCTGAGAAAAATATTAGAAGGTATTATAAAGAACAGTCATCACCCATCCAGATTGCACAAGAACAGGGCACAACAGCTGCTGATTTTCAAAGACACCAACAGCCCTACCTTTAAAATGGTTAACAGACAAGCCTGTATGGATTCAGTAATGGCCTTTAACAACAGAGAAACTGGAGGCCTTAGAACAGCTGATACAAGAACAGTTAATTGCTCAGCATATTGAAGAATCAACCAGCTTGGAATTCTCCTGTATTTGTTATTAAAAAGAAATCTGGTAAGTGGAGAATGGTAACAGACCTAAGAGCTGTTAGCAAGGTAATTCAGCCAATGGGCTGTCTACAATCTGAAATTCCTTTGCCTTCTCTGTTACCTAAAGGATGGCCTCTCATAGTTATCAATTTAAAAGACTGTTTCTTTTCAATACCCTTACAAGAAAAAGACAGAGAAAAATTTGCCTTTATGGTGCCTACTTATAATTCTCAGCTTGTTAAGAGATATCAATGAAAGGTTCTCCCACAGGGAATGTTAAATAGCCCAAACCTGTGTCAATATTTTGTATGACAGTCATTGTAAGTAATACATAAACAATTTCATCAGTGTATAGTTTACCATTACATGGACGACATTTTATTAGCTAGTTCAAATACAGATACTTTAGAAAGAATGTCTGAAGAAGTAAAGAAAAATTTTGCCTTGTTTGAGATTACAAATTGTTCCTGAAAAGATACAAGAAGGAGATTCTATTAATTATTTAAGATATAAAATAAGTCTACAAAAATTTAGATCCCAAAAGGAGAGATCAATTATGTACTATTACTGACTTTCAAAGATTATTCAGAGACATTTCCAATCTATGGACCACTATTGGAGTAAAAAATGATGAACTGAGTAATTTGTTCAAAACCTTAGAGGGTGACAAGGACTTAAATTGTCCAAGAGAATTATCAGCTGAAGCTGAGAGAGAATTGGCTTTGGTGGAAAAGAAAATACATGATGCACATGTGGATCATTTGGATCCAAAGCTTGATTGCCATTTTGGTTATTTTACCCTCTAAACTTTCTCCTACAGGAATTTAATGCAGAGGTAAAATATTATATTGGAATGGATATTTCTACCAAATAAACAGAGTAAAAAATTAAAAACTTATGTGGAAAAAATCTCTGACTTGATTTACAAAGGAAAATTGAGACGTTGTCAATTAGCAGGAATAGACTCAGCAGAAATTGTAGTACCTTTAACTAATGATGAAATTGACAAATTATGGGCAGAAAGTGAACCTTGGCAAAGAGCTTGCAGTAATTTATGGTGATATTTTATTTGTGCTGAAATATGATTTTATTTATATATTAATAAATAAAGTTTGCCTAGAGATCAGAGATCATAGTGAGCCAGGAACAGCA